GTGGCTGTAAGTAAAACCTGGCTTCGACAGCGTAATCAAGTTGTAGATACCTAATTCTTCCCATTGCTGGGATTTCTTAGCTTCTACCTTATTGAACCAGTTATGATAAGCAGTGTCGGAGGTGGGGCAAGATCGAAACGGTTTGAAGTTACTCTTTACATAGTCTAATACAAAAGGGTCCTTAGGAGGAACAATTGGATTTTCCACGGTGTTTGAACCAGAAGATTCTATTGCCTTAGGGGCGTCCATTTTATTAAACAGGGGTTTGAAATTATAGCAAACTGGGAAAATTTTTCTGGTGTCTTTTAAAATTTCAAAAACTGTAAGAGGGCTCATTAAAGCTAACCTCTTGCCAGCAGCGGTGGTAGGAATAAGTACCTGGGATGCATAAAGAATTTCTTTCTCTTTTGAGATCATCTGGGGAACAAGAACAGATTGACCTTGGTAAGTGACAACCTTACTTTCCATTGTAGTTCCTGCGGTCTTTCCTTTCTTTTTGGAAACCTTTTTTAGTTGGGATGAAGTAGAAGAAGACATTGTTGGAAGAATGTTGAAAGCTTAGGGTTTCAGTGAGAAAAGAAGGAGAAAAGATTCAGAATGTGGGAAGAAAAGAAAAAAGACTAAGTTGATGGGTTTTTATAATGTGGAAGTTTAAGCATCCACTGAGTAAGGTTGTGATACGTGGTAATCATGGGTTGGTTTAATGAAGAGGTGGCGTAAAGTTAACATTGGTAATAGGCGTGATTAAAGATAATCATTGCTTTGTAACTGCATCATACTGTGAAATGGTTCAAGGCGGTTAAGGAATCTAAAAAGTGTTATGATTGACGTGACTGGAGTCAAATGCAATAAATGTTACGATGATTCGAAGGTCGCATCAAAATCTTGTGTATATGTTTAAAATAAGTATTTCTCAAAGGGATCGAAATACATATTTTAAAGGGGCATTTTGTTGGCTGAAGATTTTGATAATATTATTAGAAGCAAAGTAAATTGGACGTTTCGATTGAAATGAAACAAAACGTCATGTTTCGAAATAGTAGAAGCAATTCTTCGAATGAGCATATCAAAGCTTGGAGCTTCGAGTGACAGTTATGAGAATATATCCAAAGAAGTCTCGAAATAATAACAAGGCTGTATCTAAGGAATGCGTTCGAAGCGAAGAAATTCCAAAACATTTTAAAATCAAATGCAAGCGGGATGTTCGAAATTTGAAATTTATGCGCTGGAGCATTCGAAGACGCGTGGAAGCAAGAGAGAGGCATTGCTCTGCATGTTCTGAACGTGGCAGAATCTTATAGCAAGACCGTTATGGTCGAAGTAGTACAAATAGAAGTCTTAGCATTAGGATTTCGTGTGTCATATCTATTGTACAAGAAAACTCAGTAAACATTTAAATTACCACATGGCTAGGGAAACGAATACAAGAGCAATGTACGTATGATAACACCACATGTTTATGATTTAATGAAAACTCTTTATCAATTCCAGTACTTTCCTTTATCTTTATATCAATACCATTTACATGTTTTTGCATCTAAAGTCTTTTTATTCGAAATCTTTTCACTGATGCCTTACATTTAAATGCTTTCCTTCCATTTCAAATACTTTACATTTCAGAAACTGTTATACATTTCATGCCTTTATCTTCAAATTTTTATCCTTTGAATACCTTTTTTACTTAAAGCCATTTTACAGTTTTCTTGCATTAAACGCTTTCTTCACATTTCGAATCTTTTACATTAACTGTTTTCTTTACGATTCGAAGCCATTTATTTGTCTTTTATGCAGTTTTTACATGTCTTTACAATTGACCTTTATTCATGCAATTTAGTTTCGCGCACGTTTATTTGATCGCACCTTTAGATCTTTAAGAGAGAAATCGAAATAAGTTAAACACCTACACAACATTCTAAATACCAACCATGAATACCAGTTCGATCATGAGAGTTACCCTAATGACCAACACGTCCTAGGATTAATCTAGTCGATCCTGCGAGTTACCAGAGAAATTGAATAACAGTCAGTAAGTTTATTCGATAGTTTGGAGGACTAGCGGTTGTTTACCAGAAATCACTGTAAACACCAACGTTTGAGGTGACTTCCCTCAAACATGAATGATTTCTCAAAGACAATATCCGCAAAAGTACCAATAATTTCTTCGGTAGCCATGGCAGTTTGAAACGTCTTAAAATTATTTTCAGATTTTGAAATATTTGCCACCAAAGAAATTACTAGGTTGAGTCGCGGACTAGGTCGCTCTCTTTAAGATGTTTCGCGGTACTACTCAAAATTATGCAAAGCAATCGAATTACCGCGCCGCCTCCAGGATAAAACAACTCAGTTCTATACTGTATAATTACTACTTGCATGGTAGATAATCGGTCTAGAAAAACACACTCTGATGGTTCATGATCATTCAAATAGGATATCAATACCACTCGTAGTATCTGGTACAAAGACTAGTCGAAATAATTTCTCAAATAAAGAGAAATTCAAATAATTCTCGAAAGAAAATTTAATAATGGTCATTTGACCACTCATAATAATTTGAAAGAAAGGGGAAGAAGATGGCGCTTCGACAATTCGAGAGACGCAGAGTTATGAGAGTGAGAAAGGAAAAACTAATAGAATATGTGATCAATGCATTTTGATGCACATTCTTCCATGATTGTACTTATGCATTTCCATGGTTTTTTTAGCTTATTTTTGTATTTTATAGTGTTTTTCTATTTTAGTTTATTTCTACTCTTATTTGATTTTCGCACTTTATTTTCAGCATTAGCAGTCTACACGAATAAATTCATAACTTAAGTTACGGGAGTCGGAATGAGACGTGCTACCAGTCGTTGGAAAAGCTAAGAAAAAGAGGTACGATTTTTATTCAGAAGTCGAGAGCTGAATCGGGCTGTAGCAGGGCCATAATTCGTTGAAGTTGCAACATTTTATATTTAAATTTTGGGTCATTTGTTTTGGGCCTGGGTTATGTTTTCGACCCAGTTGGGTTATGAACCGAATCCTTGTCCTTGCTATTAGAGGTGTTCAAATCCAAACCAATCCAAATAAAAAACCGAAAACCGATCCAAAAAACCGAAAACCGCAAAAAACCGAAATTTATTGGATGTGTTTGGATGTTATTTTGTGAAAATCGATCAGTTCAGATCGGATTTCGGATTAATTTTTCAAAACCGATCCAAACCAAACCAAACCAAACTGCATACATATATTTTTATACTTATTTACTTTTTATTAGCATGATATGCTATGTGAAATTATTATTAGATGATAATAATTTTTTAATAATAGTTATTAGCTTGGTATAATTTATTTATTTTTATTATTTCAATCATAATCAACCACTCTCATTTTGTAATATTAACTTTTAATATACTATATGTTATATATTATATCAAATCTATGATTTATTAGTAGTTTTATAATATTAATAAAAATATAATGTGTAATTTGGATATCTAAAAACCGACCCAAATTAAACCGCATAAAATTGGATCGAATCGGATTGGATTTTTTTAATATATCATCCAAAACCGAACCGAACCGCAAGTAAATTTATCTTTGGATTGGATGATTTTTTATCTTAAAACCGATCCAAACCGAACCGCGAACACCCCTACTTGCTATACCTAGAAGCCGCTACAATAATTTTGTTTTTAACCTTTTCATTATTCAGAAAAAAAATATATTTTGCTTTTACGCTTGAATGAAGAACTAATCATCCATAGTTGATCAACTGTAATTGTGTTCCGATGCTTTGAGGTTTTTAACTTATCAATTCAATTTTGTTTCTCTTTCAATTCTATTTTATGAAATTGCATTTGCTTAATATGTTATTTCATGGAATGTCTTTATTAAATTTGTATGATTGTATTCCTAATCTTTAATCGTTGTTTATGTCGCTTAGTCGTTAAATCACGTTTTATATCGTGTTTGCTTAACTCACTATTGTATTAATCTGTTTGCTTAATTCGGAATGGGAATTCAATCTATTTTATATCTATTGCACTTGTCAATTGGTATTGAAATCGAATAGAGGTCGAAGCCTCTTAGGGAATTGGTAAGGTAAAAACCAATGATTAGCAGGAACTTGAAAACAGTAGATCGACTTATTTTTATAATCACTTATTTTAATCATTTATTTCATGTTATAAATCGATCCTAAAACCAACCCCCATTTGATTTCTATTAGTTAATAATAAAATCAAGAATCCTTGCGATACGACTCGAGCCATTATCGCTATACTGCATTTTACAAAATACTCGTTTTTTATCCGTGTGCGACAGCGGATCAATAGGTTTTGGTGTGGTTTGGAATGAAACATGTGCACTCCTTATATAGTGAAGTAAGTTAGTTAATATTTCTCACATGAGTAATGTGGGACTAAATGATTTTTATCAATCAAAAAGATATTCTAACAATGTGGAACTTCGGAAAATTTTAAATTCAACATATTGGAACGTGGACATGTTCCAATAGTTCATAAAAGAACGACTCTAACTGTGGACAATCTTCTACAGATCCAACAGGAAGGTCCTTAAAGAGTCACAACTACTAGTGTTGCCCAATTTTACAAGGAAACGGTAGCAACTGCGTAGGGGAATGTTCATAGTTGGACAATCTTCAATTTTCACAGTTTTAATTGAGGAATCACAATGAGATAAGATATGTCCAATCCATTCCATGGAGGATCCTCCCATGCAACATCGACGAATATCAAGAAATTTTAGAGTAGAGGAATAATAATCAAATTGTAACTTTCCGCAATTAGTGAGACATAATTCAGGAATGACGGGAGAGAATGGAACGGAAGCCACAAGTTGTTTGCAATCAATAATTTCTAAATTCACTAAGCAAGCAAGTTTATTAGGCAATTTATCTTGAAGATTTAGACATCGCACTACAAAAAGCTTTTGGAGATGTGGAAAAGCATACCTCACAACTTCACATTCCAATTTTCCTCATCCATTCATGTCCTTAAAAGTTAAGGTTTCCATATGCAGTTCCCACAATTGCTCAACTTTAAGGATACAATATGTGATAATGAATTGTCTCCAAACCAATGTGGAAAAAGTGTATCGCCACAGCTCTCGATTGACAACTTCTTCAAATGTTTAGAAAGTTGTAGCTTCTCGAGCACTTCCCTTTCTTTTTGTGAATTATCACTATTTGTATTCCATGTTAACTTCAGCTCCACAAGGTTTACTTTATTTTTGAAGTTTGCTAAAAATGTATTTAGGGGATCGACAATGTTTTGAATATAAAAAATAGATAGTTTTTCATGCAGATTGAATTCCTCTAATTGTTCAATATTGGGCTCGCTATCCTTGCCCATATAATAAGAACTAAATTCTTCTTGATTCTTCAACTTTTCCATTTCTTTTGGCATTTTTTCACTTTAGTTCCACTAAAATCCAAATAGCACAAGTTTACGAGTTTATATAAATTTACAGGTAACTCGTCAAAATATTCACAATCCCTCAATTTCAATAATTGCAGATTATAGAGAGAACATAAAGAATCAGGAAGGTTTTTTATTCTAGTTCAAGAAAGATCGAGGTATTGTAGATGTTTAAGATCACCTATTGTATCTGGCAACTCAGCCATATCCCAATAACCATATAAAGTCAAGACACGCAATAACTTGTGCTTGGAAAATAACTCAGACAACATCAATGTGTCAGACTTCAAGCGCATTCACCATCAATGTTGATAGGAATCAATAGATAATTGTAGAAATGTGCGCAATTTATTAGCATGCCATAAGATCTCGAATCCTTTAAAAGATTCAAGTTCATCACATAAAAATGAAAAATAACAAGCCATTTTTGATATACTTTGTGCTTCTTTTACTTTCAACGTGGAGCAAAATTTCCCATATACATATTTTGCTAAATCAAGGAGAAGGTCGTGCATTACAAAAAGATTTTTGTATTTTTTTTACGGTTCAAAAAATGATCTTAATAGTAGATCGTTGAAGTACTCTTCACCGACTTGTTTCAGACTCTCATTCTTTTGTTGAGGGTATTGCAGATAATTTTCAGCCATGCATAATAAACTCAAATGATCCTTTTCAAACAAATAACCTTTTAGGAATAAGGCGCAGTAGGCGAAACATCTTTGAGATGATACAGGAGGTTTTGATAGCTTAATATCAAGGTATGGATGATTTTAGTCTTTGTTTCTAAGTCCCCTATCTCGCTTTGTCAATTGAACTAGTAGAAGCATTGAAGAGAGTCCACGACTTACTAGGTCTAGTAACAGAGATTTGAGATTCGGCTTAGAACTTGCACTGCAAAACTTAAATGTTGATTTCATCCAAGAGATCCTCAGCGTCAAGCATAACATCTGTGACAGCATCAAGCCATGCTTTTGCATGACAGTTTCTGATCTGCCTCTATTCGGCATCGTCAACAAAGGCAATGATGTAACTCAGTGTTTTGGTAAACTTGCTGAGCAGATTTCTATCGAGTTTTCTTCCACGAAAGTAATCCGTGATTTTAACAGAAGACAGCATGTCAAATGCCATCTGAATGAAAGATGAAACAAGAGCACCTAAAAAGTTCAGCAACCGCGACACAAACGGTAGTTAATGAGCAACTACAAAAATGATCTCCGAAGAGAATAACAAAATCCAAAAAAAATAAAAATAATAATTACTGTGACTCAGAAAGAAACACTGAAATCTAATTTTTCCCCTAACCCTAATCTTATAACACTAATACGTAATATCATGTTAAGAAGATTAGTATATAAACTTACACAAATGTGCATACAAAATTAAAATTTGAAAGATCGAGGAATCCAAAATCTAACCTTATTTCATTATCAATCAATAAGAGAATTCACCACCACCTGCTTTATGGGAACAAGACATGGGTGTTATTTCATCAATCCAAGACACAAAAATAGGAGAAATTTTTTTACTTCGACAAATTAAAAACGAAAATCTATAATATAAGAAAACACATTCTATCCATTTCGACAATTTTGTCCTCTTATTCCAAAAACACTCCACATAGATGCTTCCATTGCTCTCTATTTCAGATTTTGAGATTCTTTTACACCCTTTCACGATTCATTTGTTTTCCTCCCTCTCAAATAACTCCTATCTATATCAATTTTGCAACTGTTGTCCATAACTCATCATGGTCATTCTCATCAATTTTGTAAGTGTCTCCAAATCACTTCCATTTTATAACCGTCCCCAAATATTCCTCATGCCTAACGTTGTTTATATCCTTTCATCTTCTACAGCTTTGTTACAACATCGCCTTCCTCTAACCCTGCCGTTTTCGCATCCCGTCCCTGCTATCGGTTTACCATGGCACGGCCGATTGAAGTTGTATGTGATATCAATGACGGTAAAGAATTATGGAAGGTTGCAGTGAGGGTTCATCATCGGTGGAATGTTCTGATTAACAACAAAGAGCGTTTTGAGATGATATTTGTGGACAGGTAAAATAAATCATCTATGTGTCTGGATGTTCTGTTTTTCGCACGGTTTCTGCATATTCTGTTGTTATGGAAGATTTTGCATAGTTGTATGTTAGTTTTCTGATATGCTGTTATTTTTTTGTGCATTGCAGGATGATGATATTCATGATGTTGTCCCGGCGACACATAAGTCTGTTTTTGATGGGAAACTCTTGTTGGACCATACTTACTTATATTGTGGTAAACTTTAAGGTTCAGCCAAATGTGTAGTCGTTTAGACTTCGTCTCACAAATTTATGCTTAAGTTTACAGGAGGTACGTTCGTTGGTGATGATAACAAACATGACATACCTGCCAAATCGTTGGTGTTTACTGGTTTTTCTAATATAATCAACGGTAATTATAACAGGGATGTGCTTATAGGTAATTAAAATCTAACATTGTTTTTTATCTTTTCGTCGCGTGATTGAATTCGATATACTGTTATTTTCTTATGAGGGTGTTTGTCTTTTTTTTTTCAAGACGCGGTCGGGTTCAAAAAAACAGCAGGTTAATATAATGTTAAGGGACCACAAGTATGTAATCTGGCGCTTTCGTCGTTGTTGTTGTATCATATATTATATTGTGGTGCATCTTAAATTTCTTTTGCTGACCGAATATTGTGTATTCATTGTTTACCAACAACACTCTGAATTGTACTCTTTGAAAATCGTATGCCGAACAGTTTATCAAATTCAACCAGGATCGTGACAGTAGCTCTGGTCCAACTGTGTTGCTACTGCAGTATGCAAAAGTCAAACAAGAGGGTTGGTTGGTTCATTCTGTTGTGAGATTATCTATTTATTTTTGACCACTCACACTTGCTTCCTGTTTATGTTTGTATAGGGAAGGTTCCGTTGTCGGTGACAAACACCTACAATGTCACCTTGCTCTGCCTCGATGCTGGTTTTCCTCCGATCAAAGATTTCATTGACTGGTATGTTCTATGTATCGATTCAATGGTATCTATTGTGAGGTTGGAATTCTCTTGCTGTTGTGTGTACATTCTTTTAATTCACTTATTTGTGTAGCATGCCTAAAGAGTCTATCATTACTGTCTTTGGACAGGTGAGTTCGAGTTCACAACTATCATCGTAGAATTCTGAAAAAACACAACTTAGCCCTGCTCATATGTTACTCTCGAGTGTTGTTGTTTTGCCTCTTGGTGAAATAATCAAACTCAAATATGTATGCTACAATTTGGTTGCTGCTATTGTTTTTTTCCATTTGTATTGGTCACTTCTTTTTTTTTAATTTATGATTCATGACATCACTACTACGAAAATGGGCTTTCACAGCGCTTTTTTTTGCCCTTTAAAAGCGTTTAAAAGCGCTGCCGTAGCCAGCGCTGGCGTAGGCTACGAAAGCGCTTTTTTCTGGCCAAAAGCGCTGTCGTAGGTGGACCTATCCCAGCGCTTTTTCCTTAAAAAGCGCTTTGATAGGGGGGTCTTTCCCAGCGCTTTTTGAAAAGCGCTTTGATAGGTGTGCTATTTAAATTTTTTTTTTATTTATCAGGCCTTTTACAGCGCTTTTTATGGAAAAAGCGCTTTGATAGGGGGGTCTTTCCCAGCGCTTTTTCCATAAAAAGCGCTTTGATAGGGGTTCTATTTAATTTTTGTTTTTTTATTTATCATGGCTTTTACAGCGCTTTTTATGGAAAAAGCGCTTTGATAGGGGGGTCTTTCACAGCGCTTTTTCCATAAAAAGCGCTTTGATAGGGGGTTTCTATTTAATTTTTTTTTTATTTATCCTGCCTACGAAAGCGCTTTTTAGCCAAAAGCGCTTTCGTAGCTCATACAAATTTTTTAAAGTGAAACCTATAATTTGAGGTTCCCTGTGCGGCCTGTAATTTTTTTTTGGTCCAATAATTTAACCTGTAATTCAATCCTTATCTATACATATATTTTAAGAAATCGGTATTATATTAACAGAAACCGGTATACCATATAATATTCAATCCTTATCTATATATATGTAACTAAATCATATATAACTAAATTTGTAACCATATATACATTTGTAACCATAACTAAATCACATACAAAGTATCGTGTTAATTTGTAACCATATATATATACATATGTAACTAAATCATATATAATTACATCGAAAATAATGCTCCACCGACACGGTCGTCATCCTGCAAAGTATGAATATGAACAACACGGTAAATTAAACAAACAATATTAAAGGCTCCAACACAATCAAACTAACACGTACAATAATATTTTATTCATACCCATCAGAATAATCTGTTTTCAACATAAAATTGACATATTTCCTCTTTGACTTCTTCCACTTGAACTTTCGTGTACGACATAGTATAGAGGTCATCAAAGTACTACATAAGAAATTATTACTTCAGTATATGCATGATGTTATTAAATGTAGAAATCATACAAAATTATTCTAAGTTATAAATCCATACCGTGCTTGGAATCTCTACTTGATTTTTATGAAGGATTTCTTTCATAAACCTCAAGCAAAAGTATCCGCAATCTACATCATTATTCTGTAACGGACACTGCATAGAAAAACAGAATATATTTTATAGTTGTCGTGTAATTTTATCAAGTAACATAACTATTATTATAAGCAACTAATTTTGTACCTGCACTTTGATCCAAGTAATATTTGATGATTTACTCCGGGGTACCTGTGCGTCCCTTTGACTACGAAATATTTGTATTGATCTAAGAAAATAAAAACATATATTTAGATCAATCTCACAGAAATAATTAAATATATAAATATACACGAATAGTTAGAACGATCTCACTTACTGATCAACAGTTTCCTTCATAGCGGGATAGTTAGTCCATTCCCCGTCTACCGAATTCAGAAAGTACACAACTTCTTTAATCGGATCGATAGCCAACAACAACCAGTGTTTTCTAAAAATTTAAGCAACAG